CGTGGTAGTATAGGATACCGCCTATAGTAATTGCTCTATAGAAACTGTGCTCTATCTATCTATCTATCTATCTATTTGCTATATCTATCTATCTATGCACAGATCTATCTATCTATCTGTCTGTATGATTGACACTGGTTAACCCTAGAAACAGAGCAGTTTAACCTCAAATAACCAAATCACACCTCGCTACTGCACAGGATCCGTTCAAAAATATCTTAGCAATTATTCTTTTTAATCTCCTCAAGATCAACATTTTCAAACGTATTTTTTGGAAAATTTACAACTTTCTGACCTTTTCGTTAAACATGTTTCAAATTTAGATAGGTTTAGGTAGAAAAATAAACTTTTGATAATTTTGAACCGATCCAGAGATTTCTACCAAGCCACAAAAACCAGAGGTTGTAACAGAGCCGCCCTAAATTATCAATAACTCAACCTCACTTATACATCAACACACCTTATACACATACTAACACATTATATAAGTTTCCTGGTCCGAGCCACTTACTCAAAGTTTCCTCGTACTAGCCACGTTCTCAAATTTTTCTCTTGCAAGCTCCGCTGTATTTCGTCCTGAAATGTCAAATAAGTTTAGGCCTACGGATGTGAACAAGTTTAGGCCTACGGATGTGAATTAAACTTATATTTGGACTTTTTCACTCACGTCGTTGAACCAAAGAGAGGCCATCTTTGACAACGAATCCCAGAATAATATTTTTATTTTACATTGAAACTTTTTATCATTTCAGTTACATGCAGAATAAGTTTCAGCAATCTAAATCTCAATGCTCAAGATTGCAAACCAAACTGAAATCTTTCAGTTACACTTTTATTGCTATAAAAAAAAACATAGAGCAAATCATGTTAGATTTCAACATTTTAATATCTAATTTAGAAGATTTTACAGATTAACTGTTAACAACATCTTCTTATTTGCACCTGTAAGATGCGGCCGGCTCGGACATAGGATTGGTGTGGCTCGGACATATGATTGGTGTGGCTCGACATCTTTTCTTCCTCGATTCAATTTGTTGGTGTTTCGACCTTTCATGAGGTATTATCTGTAAGAATTCACTTTGAACAGAGATTAGTGTTGAATATCTTTATTATAATGATAGCGGAGGCAAAATTGGGTAAAATTAACAAGATGACAGGATAATAGGTTAATAACAGTTTATATAATATCATGCAGAGATACAGGGATACAGGAGTAAAGGGATACAGGGATACAGGGATACAGGGATACAGGGATACAGGGATACATGGATACAGGGATACAGGGATACAGGGATACAGGGATACAGGGATACAGGGATACAGAGGTTCAGGAGTAAAGGGATACAGGAGTATAGAGATACAGGGATACAGGAGTAAAGGGATACAGGGATACAGAGATACAGGGATACAAGGATACAGGGATACAGGGATACAGGGATACAGAGGTACAGGAGTAAAAGGATACAGGAGTACAGAGATACAGGGATACAGTACTAAAGGGATACAGGGATACAGGGATACAGGGATACAGGGATACAGGGATACAAGGATAAATGGATACATGGATATGGGGATACAGGGATACAGGGAATACAGAGATACTGGGATACAGGGAATACAAGGATATTGGGATACAGGGATACAGGGATACAGGGATACAAGGATACTGGGATACAGGGATACAGAGCTTACAGATGAAGTCAAGATGAAAATTATGATTGGTCAACAGTTTGAAAAGACCGAGATTTTACTCATCAGATTCAACGTATACAGATTTGGAAACTAGCGGGCTAAATCAAAGTTTTCGTGAATCACTATATATGTATGCGGCCATTTTCTTTTTCTACGAAGAAATATGATTTTAATGTTAAGAGCAGAGCTGTGCACTAGATGAGTCTGCAGTATGCAGGAACGTATATACTTTTTTTTACGAGGGGTAAAGGAGCTTTGACTGGGCGGCGGGGGTCGTAATTTATAGAGGAGGTTTGAGGTATATATGTGAATAGGGAGGAGGTGTTTTTAGTTTCCTGTTTTTAAAGAAACTGACGATAAAGAGCTGCATATTTGCTAAATTTACATCGCGGTACTGTTTAGACATTTACATATTAGATGTAAACGATGAGGAGGATATCGTCTGTTTATCTGGAAAGGTGTTAAATTCGGAAAATGTCCTTCTTTGTCTTTACTGTATAATTCCTCATTATCAATTTTTGTGAGAAACCACAGTCCCAATGTAAAAAAACGAGGATCCTCTTTCACACGTAGGTTTAAAGTGTATACCACTGTGAATTAGACATGACTCTCCTTATTGAAGTCATTTCAATTTACGTCAAATAAAAAGACAAAAAATCAAAATATGTTGTTTTCAATTTCAATAACCTTTAAAAATGTTCAATGATTACAACACAAGGTGCGAAGCTCCATAATTTCTTAAATTCATTGTTTATTATTCAAAGCTAGCTGGGATGGTATACACTGCAGTTTTCAAATTCTACAGGCTAGTCGACGATTAAACTCCATAAAAGTTTAAAATAAGTTTATATTACATTTGTGCCCGCGGCAATACACCCTCCTCACCACTTAATTCAAGATCCCCTATTTGTCGATTTATCAGGATATTAAATAGATTCGTCGCACTGAGCCTCCTCCCCTCTCATTGGTCGAAATCTCTAGTGCGCGCCATTAAAAGTTAATCCCGGGCTGTGATTGGTCGAAACAGTTAATGCTCTGCTGTGATTGGTCGGCGCTAATGGTTGTATGAAATATCTCGTGATTGTGAGGTTTATCTCATTATTATCATGATTGTGTGTAATATAGACATGAGGCTAGGTTGAGTACAGCCAGTTCAGAGGCGTATTCAGGGGGGGGGGGAACTATTGGGGCTCATCCCCCCTGGACCAGCAAAATCTATGGTTTTTAGGGGGTTTTCAGGTCCCAACGGGTGCTACTTCTGAGCCCCCCCTTGGAAAAATTCTTGATACGCCCCTGAACCAGCTCTACACCCTATACACAAACTACACTTTATTAAAACATAATGTAATCACTACCAAGCATTCAGGAATAACTAGCGGGAAGGGGGCTAGGGCCTGGGGACAGGGGGACAGGGGGGGGTAGAGAGCTCTGTATCAACATTTGAACATTACTTTTTTGTGTGTTTCTATTGTAATCTAAATTATATCAGCAAAAATGGAAAGATTCGACCTTGGAAAAAAGGTACGAAAGTACAAAAAAATACAAATTACATTGTTTAATAAGGAAATATTGAATTTCTAATATGCACGTAATTATGTCATCATGTAATCATGTATTAATGTAATCATGTATAATCAAGCAATCATGGAACAGGATAAAATTCCTCTTCTCATACTTGTGCGTAAAATTAAAACTAAAAGCTACGAGGTCACAAAGTCGAAACAACAATTGCACTAATATTTACACAATTGCATGATCCGTGCTGGTGTACACCACGTACTGTATATGCACCCTGTCGTACCGTCCAGTCTGTCTACCCAGTTTAGAGTTGACCCAGCATCATGCGTTTTATGCAACAAATGCAGATTTGCAAGATCACCCTGTCTAGTTTGCAATGGATCATCAGCCTTTAAACTTGTACACTTTTTACTTTCCTACATGGGGATTTATAAAAACTCATTTTTTTATAAGAAGTGCAAAGTCTAAAAGTTGGTTTTATAATATAATGTAATTTAGTCTTCTGCCACTACGAAAATAAGTGGACAATTACAATTCACAGTGATCAAAAGATTGCCTCAAAAACTTGTTTAAAAAATAAAGCCAAAAATTAGCGCTTGATTGCTATTAAATGTCTACAGTTGCAAAAAAGTATAAGATTGAGTAAGTACGGTTTCTCAATGGCCAAGGCGTTGCGACATTTTAAAATCGACCCAGTATTTAAAAATTGATACACCTTCAAAGCAGTCAGATATATCAAACTAATCTTATGTGAATCATCTTAAATTTTTGGCTCTAAAATGTTTAAGGATAAAAAACGGTACCAGATTGCTTAAGGTTTATTGTTGGTTGAGGTTTCGTGATTGTGCTATAATAATTCGGGAGAAATTCTTAGTAGAGGTTTCGTGGGTTTTTAAGATGATTTTAGAGTAAAAGTTTTCTGTTATACATGTATATTATTAGTTTTTATAGGTTTACTATAATAATTCTAAATGTATTCTTAGTAAAGAGTTCTAAATGTATTCTTAGTAAAGGATACATGGCATTAACGATTTTAAAAGGGTTGTAGAAATGTTATCTGGACCAGAGCTGTTTTTTTAAAACCTAGTGCGAAACAGGAAAAATATCTATCTTAAAAAAAATTTTCGCGTGCGGCAGGTCTTTTTCTTCCTAGATCTGGATTTTTTTTGTTTCCAAATAAATCTAGCAACCCCCTCATTTAAATCCTGTATCCGCCCCTGTACCCGATTCACAACGATACGCTATAAATCTTCTTCTTTCATCTGAAAATTGATAATTTCTTTTTGTTGTTTATTTAAAAAATAGGTTGTGAATTAATACAGCAGAGAGAAAGTGTAAAACTGTTGTAAAGATAGAAAACGATATATTTTTCTAAATGTTGCTCAGATTAAGGCTGAAAGGGTACCATTGTGAATCGAGCATGCAAATCTTTAAATAAAGGTTTGCTTGAAATTATGTCTACAAAAGTCACTTTAAAAACTTAAATTATGTTTTATGCTGGAAAACATTGCTGATTAAGAGAAAATATACAAAAAATAAAATTCTAAAAAAAGATAAATTATATATTTACGGTTTTAAACTCATTAGTTTAAAGGAATTAAGTCTTTGTCACAAACTCAGATTTTCTAATCCCTAAATCTTTGCAACAAATGTCGTAGAGCTTAGTTATTTTAAACTCTGAATTCTGGTGGATCCCATAATCTGAGTTTGAAATATCAAATACCGTCAGGTTGCATAAGATTAGAGAATTATAACATTTGTGTTTGTGGCTAAGACTTAATTCCATTCAGGTTGTTCAGAGAAATTTAATTACAAAAATCAAAATAAAAGACAATTTTAGTCGGGTTGAAAAGCAGTGTTTTTTTTACCTCAGATTTGCAGGAGTTTCTAAATGGTTCTGAAGCAACATAGTAGTAATCCGTGAAACTACAAAATATCAAAAATCAAAAATTGCTTCACCCAGAATATAATTCATATTCAGAATATTTATATTGGATCCTAAAACGTCTTTAAGAAAAATGTTTTTCTCTCAAGTCCATACTGCACAGACGAAAACCAGTTTTTAGACGAATAAATTTAATCAGCAAGGGAAAAAATGTTAGGTCAAAATGTGACTTTTTGGGTGCTTAAAATATCTTTCTTGGACACAGAATTCAAAAAGGTTGTCATTGTACAAAAAAAACGTTTTTAAAAGGGAAAATTTCCCAATATAAGTCACTTATTTGTCTTAACTGGATCAATTTTTAAAATATCGAAAAACTAAAAAAATTACCGAATTTATCTGCTTTTGGATACACATAAAAGCATGCTATGATGTTTTTTTTTTACTAGTGGTTTTTTAAATATCATTTTCTTAAAAGTCGAATATGTCCAACTAAAATTGATTTTCCAGAAATTGTTTTTTCTTCTCTAAGTCGCTGAAATGTATATGCTCCATACAAATCCGGGTTATATCAATTATCTTTTTTATTCCTTCGTTTCAGTCTTAAATACTTTATAATCCATTATTCCATTTCGATTAACGCAAGAATAATGTTTCATTCCTATTTTTTCATTCAAATATGAAGGGGTATTTTTGAACGAAGTTATTCATACATGTATTCCTTTTCCCGTGAAAAAATTAGGAAAACGTTTTTATCAAGCGCAAGAAAAGTAAAAAAAGAACTGTGTGTCCCTCTAAACATGACATAATACATGTGAATGCTAGGTCGTCCTCTTGAGATATACTGCAGCTTTCATTCATGCAAAAACCAAATTGTATGATTATATGATTCTTAAAATTAAAACCATCATAATTTCTATTGCTTTCAAAATTGCCTAAGGTAGAAAAAACACTTTTGAAAAATTTAAAGCCCTGCCTCCTTTTTTTAAAATCCCTGATAAAATCATTTACAAAATTCAGTTTTTAGTAACTATCTATCATGTTTCGAGCAACTGAAGCTATACAGGGGACAAACTGAAAGTTTAAAAAAATGTTATACCAATGTTTACCTCATTATTTTATGGGCAAACTCCCCGACCCTTGATCTAACACTGCAGGCATAGCTGTCCTTGTAGTTTACATTCTCACAGTATATCTTGATACAAATATAAATAAAAAAATACAATATTTTTATTATTTTGTTTAGATCATCTCTTTACTCAATACTCTTCCAATTTCAATTCTATCTGAATAATTACTGTTGAAAAAAAAGTTGTTTAGGAGTGTTCACTAGGGTGGATTTTGGATTCTTGGAGTGTAGAACATGATTTAGAATGTGAAATCATTATTTCCAAAACTATAAAATTTGTTCATTAATTATAAAATATAATTTCACTTTTAAGTTGAAATTACTCTTGCAAAATTTGGTAAAAGAAAGAAACTGAGTTATTGTCACAAACTCTGATTTTCTATTTTTATATCTTTGCAATCCGATGTTGTAGACCTTAGATATTTCAAGCTATGAATTGTATTATATCAATTAATCTAAGTTTGAAATATCAAAATTTTACACAATCAGGTTACAAAGAAATAGGGATTCAAAAATTTGAGGTTGTGGCAATAACTCAATTCCTTTGAATTAATTTCTATCTTAAAAAATATGCAGGATAGATATAAAAATAGTATCAATTTTGATGTTGTCAACTTTTAAAACATAATTTATGGATAAAATATTTAAAATATTTTTTTAGAAAACAGATGTTATAAAAACTTGCAAATCATGTATTACCTTATTTATGTTTTCTTCCATAACCTCATCACATCGTTTCTTAAACAAATTCATTCAAAAATATGTTTTTACAAGAAACATGTTTGCTAAGAGTTTCAATTATGAAGAAATCTATTTATTATACCCGAGGCAGTTAGATCTATTAAACAATTTGATATAATCTTAAAGAAATATCGATTTGACAAAAACTCATAAACTTGGCTAAAATCTCATTTCATTTTTTTAATATCATGACATTAAAAAATCCCTATTCTTTGATATAATCTTACAAAACTTTAATATAATCTTACACAACTTTAATATAATCTTACACAACTTTAATATAATCTTATACAACTTTAATATAATCTTATACAACTTTAATATAATCTTATACAACTTTGATATAATCTTATACAACTTTAATATAATCTTATACAAGTTTAATATAATCTTATACAACTTTGATATCTTTAAAAAAAAGAAGAAATCTTTGTGTCTCTTTGTTTATTTGTAATTCCGATCATAACTCACGAACCACGACCAATTTGCCTCAACTTTTGAATTTTAAGATTTGCTTATTTACAGAAGAAAATAATAATCATTACTTGTCTTGGAATATATAATAACACATTAATATTAGAAATAATAATTATTACTTGTCTTGGAATATATAATAACACATTAGTATTAGAAATAATAATTACTTGTCTTGGAATATATAATAACACATTAATATTAGAAATAATTATTATTACTTGTCTTGGAATATATAATAACACATTAATATTAGAAATAATTATTATTACTTGTCTTGGAATATATAATAACACATTAATATTAGAAATAATAATTATTACTTGTCTTGGAATATATAATAACACATTAATATTAGAAATAATAATTATTACTTGTCTTGGAATATATAATAACACATAAATATTAGAAATAATTATTATTACTTGTCTTGGAATATATATTAACACATAAATATTAGAAATAATAATTATTACTTGTCTTGGAATATATAATAACACATTAATATTAGAAATGATAATTATTACTTGTCTTGGAATATATAATAACACATAAATAAATATTATAATTAATTATTAGAAAAAATGTTAAAAAGGGGTTTTTAGTTACCTTCGTGGTTCCTGGGGTTACATAGCACAGATCATGCATTACACAGGACTCATAACTAATTAAGTTAAGTTGGTTTATATTTTGATCGGTTTTTGCAAAAGCAAATAATTTTAAAATTGTTTATTTTAAACATTTGGTTTTAAGTTGCACTTCTGCAGCCTAAGAGAGCAGAGCTCTGCTCAGAAAGCTCTCTGCACTATTAGCAGTGGACGCTGAGAAAGGTGTCTAGACATAGGAGGGAGGGAAGGCCAACCGGCTCTCAACCCTGTTCTCAATATGCTTGCCTCCTTTCTTAACTACAGTACCCATGGCCGTGGAAATAAGTCAAGAAATAGGAATACAAAGAGCTAATATGTCTAAAACTAATCCGGTTTCCTACCCACTCCACTTAGCGATTGGAGACCTTTCTGGAAGGGCCCTGCTCCATAGCAGTCAGAATGTGCAGCACTGAGGCTGCAATTAGAATTAAGTAAAACAAACAAAAAACAGAGAGGGGGACATCTATGTAATGAAAGGGTGATCGTGCACTGTCTTATAAGGGTGCAAAGACATCGACTCGTAAAGATTCTTTCAAAAGCAGCGCCATAAATGGACTGGCAAAGGGAAGCAAGACAAAGAGAACCTGCAGACGTGCAGACGGAGAAAGGAGAAAAAAGATGAACATTTGAAATAATCAATTATGCCTCGTACCATTTTATTTTATGAAAATTATAAAAACATTAATACTAAAACATTTGTAAAAAAAACTTCATTTACAATAAAGCTAAAACCAAGTAAAAAACATTTGGATTTCTTACATAATGCCAAATGTTGACCCTAAGAGAAAAAATGTGAAAAAAATCGAACCAAAAACAACCGTGTCATAACAATCATTTTTTCCATTTTTTAGTATAAAAACATTGCAAAGTTTCATAAATTAACAAGATCTTGAAATTATTAAAGTTTAAAAAAACGAACGAAGACGGTAAACAACACTACTAATTATTTACTTATCAGATAATTAATGAAACTAGGTTGTATTTTTAAAAATCAAATTAGACATAAGTTTTCTGATACATTATATATTCCCTTGTTTAAGATTTAAAGAACTTTTCTCTTGTTTTTCTTCAACTATTCTGCAAAATCCAAAATTGCATGTCCGTCATCACATGAAGAAGGTCATTTTCACCAATTGTTTGACGATTTTTAAAATTTATCGGGAGACATCTTCCTATTGGGGCTTAACTATCCCCCCTCCCAACTGTGGGGTATTTTAGGGGGTCAGGGGGGGGGATGTGACTGTTTTTTTTCACAATACTACTCTTTAAATGCATTTGTCTTTGTGTTTCATGGCGAGAATGGACAAAAATGAATATATTCTGATAATCTTTCCATTAACAAACATAATATAAATTGTAATTTGCATTGATTTATAATCATTTCAATTTACAATTACTTTTCCCGTTCATATATTTATCCTTGAATGAATCCTGTGATCCTGCAATATATTTAGAATGTCGTTGCATACGCCCCTGATGCCTTCTTACCTAAGTAAATAATCTGGTGAGTAAGTACACCCATCAGTGTTCCATTGACCTAAATATTGATGGATAAAACTTTATTTATACTTCGCTTGTCTGTTTGTTTGTATGAAATAGACGATGAAAACGGGTGAACCGATAGATAGATAGATAGATAGATAGATAGATAGTTAGATAGTAAGATAGATAGATAGATAGATAGATAGATAGATAGATAGATAGATAGATAGATAGATAGATAGAAATATATATACATTTGACTAAATATTTTAACAAATAAAAATTACATGTAGTGCACAACTTTTACATTTTAATTTAGCCAGGGCCTCTCTAACCATTGCTGGTTGTTTTGAATGAGAGGCCCTTTTGCAGCGATAAATAACATGTTAAATTAAAATAAAACCAATTAAAACCAAAATAATTTAGAACTAAAGGAAAGCAAAGAGAGGTGGAGAAAAATGACTAGATAGAAGAAAAGGTATTGGAGAATAAAGAGGAAAAGAAAAAGAAAGGTTCACGTAATGAGTTATGTTTTATTTTGTTATGTTATAATAATTAAATTAAAATATAATAAGATTAAAAAGCCTAGTAAATTAAATATCTGGAAAAATATAATCTCATAATAGAATATAGAAATATATATTTCAGTTTTTAAGCTTTAATTCTTACCTGGAATTGTTGATTCTGAGCTTTTATAACAGGTTCTAAATAATGATTAATGTTTATTATTGTTTAGAAAAAAAATTAAACTAAAACTTTTACATCTCATGGATAAAAACAAAAGCTCACTGACCCTAAAAAAAGTACAACTCAATTCATTTTACTGGAATCAATCTATTTAATCAATTTAACAGCTATAACTGTCGTCTGTCACTTTCTTAAAATTCCAATTTTTATTTTTAACAAAAATTAATTTTCCTGATTTCACACTGTTGTTCCATTTCAACCAAATCAATTCTGCATTCATCTCCTTAAATACATGGATCAGATGATACAGTGGGGTACAATAAAAATTGAATATTGCATATCTATATATAAATTTGGCTTGTCTGGGTGTCTGTTTGTTTATATCCAATAAACGTCAAAACGGCTGAACCGATCGGGCCCAAATTTTTTGTGGGACATCTAGGGACTCCAGGGAAGGTTTATGAATGATTGAAATTTTAAATATTTGTCTCCATNTAAAATGTAAACAAAAAGAACATGTTCACAATTTAAATAGAAGATGGGCGAGAAGCGCCCTAAAAGCCTAGTTTTATATAAATTTAGCTTGTCTGGGTGTATGTTTGTTTGTATCCAATAAACGTCAAAACGGCTGAACCGATCAGGCCCAAATTTTGTGTGGGACCTTACGAGGCCCCAGGGTAGGTTTATGAAATTTCAAATATTTGTCTCCATCAAAATGCGAATTTCATTAAATTTGTGAAAATTTTGAAAATGCACGAAATTTTTGTTTAAATCCGCGAACTTTTTTTGTTTTGTTTTACGATGTATACACATAGAGAACATGATCATAATTGACATAGAAAATGGGCGCAAAGTGTCCTAAAAGGGTAGTATTTTATATTTCGGGTTCCTTTTACCAGATTTTTTCTGATTTATAATTAATTTCTAAATAAATATGTAAGAATAAAATGGATTTAAAGATGTCATAACATGTAATACCCAGTTTTATAATTTTGAAATCTGCAATCGAAATTGCAATCGACAGAAAAAAATTTGTTTATAATTTGTTAAGCCACACTTAAATTTTATTCTAAATTCAGACTGAACTTTTTACAATCACAAAAACTCACCAAAAAGTAATTTGTGAACCCTTTTTATCCATATTTATAAATCAAATTTTTTATGATTTTTGAATCTGAAATATTCATTTATTTCCATAGAAAATACAGAGATAGAGCATTGTACAGTCTACTATGCATTGTAATACATATTGTAAATATATGCACATTTAATAAAGCAAAACTACTGAATATTAAAATCTACATATATTCATTATTTATTAGTAAATGGAATTGAAACCTGTATCTAAATTTGCTCCTTTAGCCAACCAATGGCTGTCACAGCAGACACTGGTCTAAAGTAAATAAAGTATTGTTATAAAACAAACAAAAGTGAAGTTGGGGTTTTATAAAATAGTTTCCACAAAAATTATATAAAACTATATAAATAGGAAACCGACTGTAGCCTTGTATAGGCTCAATTTATGATTCAAAATAGTCTAATAAACATGAAACACGGCAATTGTGCAGTGTACACAGGTCCATTATATTTTAAAAGGTTCATTTTAAATAGTAAAACTAATTTTTTAACCAACATCAAATACACATAAAGATTGCAATAATATCCTCTTCGTATTTTACAGTTTTTGGGTGCCACTGTACAGTGTATGTAAAGTGTGTAGTGTATGTACAGTGTACAGTGTATGTACAGTGAACATTGTATGTACAGTGTAAGTAAAGTGTACAGTGTAAGTACAGTGTACAGTGTATGTACTGTGTACAATGTACATTAATGTGCATCTATATATACTTTACTTGTCTGTCATGGCGTCTGGTCTGTTTGTTTGTGTCCAATAAACGTCCAAACGGCTGAACCGATCGGGCCCAAATTTTGTGTCGGACCTCACATGACTACAGGGAAGGTTTATGGATTATCAAAAGTTTAAAAATTAGCCTCCAACGAAATTTGCTTTTCATTAAATTTTGAAAATCCACGAATTGTTTTTTATGAAATCCGCGAACTTTTTTTTATTGTGTTGCAATACAAAGAGAAAGTGTTCACAATTGAAATAGAAGATGAGCGCGAAGCGCCCTGAAAGCTTCGAACCTTAAACTTGTTCACAAGATCAGGACACCAGAAGGTTTTCTTCTCAGAGCATTTTGGAGTTCCTGCATCATACATCCGGTCTGAACACACAATTTAATTAAATTGTACAGGGTGTCCCAAGAAAAAGGTAATTGCATGGTTTTTGGAGTCTTTTTATGCATGCATGAGCCTAAAATGTAACACCCATCATATAATTTTCTAATCTGGAGGAGTTATTTTTATCACCTTTTTGATGCAAAGCCTTGTTTTTAACTAGGACGTTAATTTAAAAGTTATAGACTTGAGCCCTAATTTTAAAGCTTATGAATGCATAAAATTTTGCCTCAAAATCCATACTTCACCCTTGTTTAGGACATCTAAGTATTCTATAAACTAATGCGTAGGACATCTAAGTATTTAATAAACTAAACGTTAAACAGATTTTAAAATTAATGTACCAACGGATTTTTTTATTGCGTTATATGAGTAGAACCACGAGTATTCAGATTCTGCTGCCTGTTCAATCAAATCAGCTGATTCTCCCAGGTCAGTTGATTTTTCAAGAGCAGCTGATTCTCCAGCTGTTTTGTTTAGTTGAGGTTGAACTGCAGAATCTGAACCAAAGTATGGTCTCCAGGAACCTGAACTAGGCAACCAATATCTCCAACCTCTCTCCTCTTCTAAAAAGCGGAAATAAGTCTTTGAAACAAACTTTGAATTTTTAATCACTAAATCTTTGCAACAAAATGTCGAAAACCATCGATATTTGAAACTTTGAATTCTGTTACATTAATTGTCTCAGTTTAAAATATTAAAGGTTCACAATCACACCATCAGGTCTCAAAGATATATGGATTAGAAAATTGAGTTTGTGGCAAAGACTCAATTCCTTTAAAAATTAAAAAGCTTAAAACATGCATGAATTATCAAGCATGACATTAACATCGATACTGAGTGTAAAGAACCAGAATTGTGTACTTTTGCTAACATTTTTTTTACTATCATGGCAAAATTAAATTTTTTCTAACAGAAACAAAATTAATCCAAATTATTGAATTCAACTTTAAGTGCTATTAAATTTATTCAATCCTAAATCAACTATTTAGTATTAATATGTGTTTACTGTTTAGAATTAATATTTACTATCCCCTTAATTTCAGGTTTTATACTTTCTGAAATTGTAGGTATTGTAGTCTCATCAATGAAAGATGCTGTACTTTCTGTAGTAAAGAGTATTGTACTGGTGTACTTTCTTCAATTAAAGCTGGTGTACTTTCTTCAATTAAAGCTGATGTACTTTCTTCAATTGAAGCTGATGTACTTTCTTCAAATCCAGATGTCGTAGATTTACTTTCTGCACTGAAAGATTTCACAGTTGTGTCTTGTCTAAAAGATAATTTTATTAAACTGAGTGTGACAAATATTCTTGAATATTTGAAAACTTACATGTTAGATATATCATCATTATAGGCTAATTCAACCATAGGCCCTCCGGGATTATAATTGGAACCCCAGAACATAGAATCATCAAGGGGACCCTAAACAAAATAATATCTAGGGGCCCCTAAACAAACATAGAATCATCTATAATATGGAACCCTGAATTGTCGAAAAAATCGGTAGCATTAAATGAAGAAACAAAAAAAATTAAATTTAGTTTACCGCTGCAGCGATCCCAGAATAATAAGTTAAAGGGAGTGTTAGCGAAAAACGAAAGGGGGGTATAACTATAGACTGATATAGAATTGATAAAAAAATAGTTTAAAGTTCATCGCATAAAAAAATATTACGAAATTCTAACTATATTATGCAAATGAATCGAATTTGCTATTTGTAGATTGAAATATCCGAATAATTAATTTTAAATTAAATTGAACTTTTTACGATCTGAGCGGAATAATGCAACATCGGGTTCTATGCTCTTGTTTATAAGACGTTTTTATCCATTTTCTCCTTATAGACGCAACAGATGAAAATAAAATAAGTAGCCGATATCGAATTTTATTCATTTTTCGCGAACACTCCCTCTAAGACAAACAAAATCACAGATATCTAGACTATGTGTCAAATAATATTGTACACTGAGAACCAGAAAACTCTGAAATAGGAAGACGACATTATACAAATACTTTTGTTACAAAGCGCAAATAGTGTCACTTGTAAGTTATTATATATATATCTTATCAAGTTAAATGGGTTCAAGTTGAATGTTCATTTGGCTATTTTAAGACCATAAGTCAATAAGTGGTCTTCCTTTTCAAGAGTTTTTGAATATATATATATATACAAACAGATATGTTTATCATTATATTTTATCTGAACTACAGTGAGAAACAGAAAACTCTGAAAAGGAAGACGACTTTTAGACTCAAGTTACAACTTTAAAATATCCAATGTGGATGAGATGATGAGACTCATTAATTTTGCAGTTTAAACAGACCCACGTCTCTAAATTAGTGATTTAATAAGTAACCCTATTTGTATTGTAACAACATCAATGGGTTTAATGTCGTCTTCCTATTCCATTGTTTTCTGGTTATCACTGTATTTACCCATGGGACGTAGAACGCTAGGCCAGGCCAAACTGCAGATCAACATCAGGAGTAATGCATTTCGAGAAGAAAAAAATTTTTATTTTTAATATTTAGAAAAAATATATGAAATGTTGCTGAAGATAGGAATAAAATAGATGGGAGGCAAAATTGGGTGGACTTAACATTCGGATTCCGTTCAGATTTAGATTTATTAAAGAAGTCTAAAATTGTCATAAATCATAATGTCTAATGTTCATCAATTATTAATAATCTGCAATATTACGAAGCATGACAGTTGGTGAATAGTTCAGAAGGTTTTCTTACATAATTTGTCAAGTTGTTTGATACCAAAGACAAAACTAAAAATATAATATGGGAGTCATGTTATAGTAAAATTTATTTCAAATTAAATATATTTAAGCAAACAAATTTTATAACGAAATAAACTGCAAAAAACCTTTAATATCTTATACAGTATATAGAAGACGACATTCATTGCTATTTATCAACTGTCATGTTTCGTGGGACACCCTGTTTAAAGTAATAATCTTTGTTTAAGTTTGTTGTTTGTCTTTCCGATCATAACTCATTAACCCTTTGACTGATTTGCCTCAAATTTTGTTAAAAAACTCAAAACCACTGTTTTGGTCTTGTAAGCTTAGTTTGAAAAAGCTGGGTTCCCAGGCTATAAATACTGTTTTGGAAACCTTTTTTTCAAATACATTTTTGTGCATAAATGTTTACAAATATCAAAAATCTTTGTCGTTGTTCGATGGTCGTATGGTGTAAGAAAGAAACTCTTTTATCAGTCATCAGTCATAACAAAATATCTATTATTAAAAATTTATAATAATTATTGAAGCATGCAAAAGATCAACTAAACTGCAGTGGAATAGTTAGACATCATTTATGAAATATTTTGAAATTATATTTTGTTATAAAGCAAATAGATTTGCTAGTTTCTTGAAAAACAACTTTTTAACTGATAGAACTGAAATGTATTCTGTCTTTTTACAATGCAGATTGATATATAATTCATATAATAATCGGTCTAAAATATTTTTAGTTTCTATAACTAGAATCCCATCTAAATTATTCAGATGTTTCTGCATTATTCTGGAATTATAATATTAGCTTATCATGGTTTAAATTTGGTTTCTAAAATATTTAAAAATAGAAAAAAAAACTCAAAATGCTTTATTCTTTCCTAAAGCACTGTGAAAAGTTTTATTTTTTGTTTAATTCTTAAAGTTAAATTGATGCTTACAAGGATGTCTGAAAAAATACTGTTGAAGGGACTGTTAGCGTAATTTTAAGTGACCCTTCATGCTAAGACCACAATGCCCAATTCTTAACGATATCCTTGAAGCTTTGTCTGAACAAGTATAAAATATGTCAATATTTTAAATTTTGGAACCTATTATTTCAGTTGTCATTTCTCTTCGTATGGACTTCGCATTTCTACTGTGTGAAAATATAGATGTATATATCAGAAATTAACAATTGTAAACCTGAAAGAATGACAATATTCTCCAAATTGTTTATAAGGAAAAGGTTTCAAGGGTACTGTTGTGAATTGGGTAATATAAATGGTCACTTGAAATTATACACTATACTTAATATCGAGTCTAATCTAATCTTGTACTTTTAGCCTGAAAAGTGTATAAAATTCAACCAATCAGAATCGCGTAAAAGAAGCCAATAAATTTATAATTTTTGGCGCCATTTAAGATTATATACAGTAACGGGAGAGACGCTCAAATTAAAAAAAAACAATTTTTATTTTTCCCTACTATATCCAAGAAAGAGCGGTTTAAGAAGAAAATCAAAACTGTTACCAATTTCCATTGGATACTTAGATTAAGTAGTCGGGATTAAGAGATTAAGGATTATTTAAAAGTTTTCAGCTCAGTTCCTTTAAACTCTAAAATGCTGTTTTTGGTTAAGTTAAAATTTTTTAAATTGTGAAATGTTCTAAACAATTCCTGATTCTTTTTTTGTTGTTGAAGATTTGCAGATTTATGATGTAGAGACATTAAAGGGAATTATCAGAAATAATAACTTTTCAAAATAGAAAAAAGATATCTTTTATAGAACAATTGTGAAATAAAACTTTTCCTGAGTAAAAAGACACATTTCATCATGTTCCTGAAACCCAAAAAACAATTCTCAAATTCAAATAAATAAATGCTTTTTATCAAGAAATTTGCAAAATTCAACTCCAGGAGCAACAAAATTGTGATTAGTTATAGTTCAAACCAGGGCACTTAAATGCATAATTTTCAAAATTGTGTATAAATTTCTATGTTAAAAATTTTATGTAGATTTGTATGTTCAAAATTGTGTATAGATTTGTGTGTTCAAAATTGTGTATAGATTTGTATGTTCAAAATTGTGTATAGATTTGTATGTTCAAAATTGTGCACAGATTTGTATGTTCAAAATTGTGTATAGATTTGTATGTTCAAATTGTGTACAGATTTGTATGTTCAGAATTGTGTATAGATTTATATGTTCAGAATTGTGTATAGATTTGTATGTTCAGAATTGTGTATAAATTAGTATGTTTAAAATTGTGTATAGATTTGTATGTTCAAAATTGTGTATAGATATGTATGTTCAGAATTGTGTATAGATTTGTATGTTTAAAATTGTGTATAGATTTGTATGTTCAAAATTGTGCATAGATTTGTATGTTCAAAATTGTGTACAGATTTGTATGTTCAGAATTGTGTATAGATTTGTATGTTCAAAATTGTGTGAAGATTTGTATGTTTAAAATTGTGTATTGATTTGTATGTTCAAAATTGTGTATAGATTTGTTTGTTCAAAATTGTGTACAGATTTGTATGTTCAGAATTGTGTATAGATTTGTATGTTTGAAATTGTGTATAGATTTGTATGTTCAGAATTGTGTATAGATGTGTATGTTCAGAATTGTGTGTAGATTTGTATGTTTAAAATTGCGTATAGATTTGTATGTTAAAAATTGTGTATCGATTTGTATGTTCAGAATTGTGTATAGATTTGTATGTTCAAAATTGTGTATAGATTTGTATGTTCAAAATTGTGTATAGATTTGTATGTTCAGAATTGTGGATAAATTTGTATGTTCAAAATTGTGTATCGATTTGTATGTTCAAAATTATGTATAGATTTGTATGTTCAAAATTGTGTATAGATTTGTATGTTTAAAATTGTGTATAGATTTGTATGTTCAGAATTGTGTTGTATGTTCAGAATAGTGTACAGATTTGTATGTTCAAAATTGTGTATAGATTAAGTATGTTAAAAAAAATACCATAATCTGAAAATTTAAATTGTTCTTCGCACAGTGTGTCCAAAATGCCGATTTTTGGTAAAAAGAAATAAGATTTTTTGTACGTATATTTTCATAAAAGTCGGTACCTAAACCCATTATTAAGCGCCAATTTATGATTTTTATTTAAAATTAGCCTTACTGAACTATGATTGACGCGCTAGCCCGTTTTCAATATCCCCCTTTTTAAAAATTGTCAAAAGATATTTTTTAAAACATGATTTATATATTTATTAAAAATCCGGACATTTCTGAAAGGCACTTTTTTATAGGTTAAACAGTGACCTTAAAAANTTTTTTTCTCGCTTTTTTAAAATTTAGTAAAAAGAAAAAAAAAATAACTGTAAAAAATTCACTTTTTAGTATTGCTGATTCTTGGAAAGAAATGTTGAAAAAATATTAATTTTTTTTTAATACATAACAAAATAACCAGGAAATTTCAAAAAGTGCTCAAACATTGTTCTAAGTAAAAAATTAAGCTTCGCACACGCACACTTGATTTTAGACAATGGAAGAAAGTATTAAAAATTGTGAATTCTCAGCAGAACATCTAAACAAATTATTAACTCAAGAATCAACTTTAATTAAACTGCTCTCAAGACTCAAACCTGAAAGAGTTAAAAAAATTAAAATCTCCTTTAGCACTGCTTCTCAACTGCTTACTGTTAGGAAACAATTTTTTTTTTCTTTTTCTGAGGGGTCAAAATTTTTATTTATACCGGCCCTGGACAGTGGATAACACTGTGCCTCGGGAAAAAAACTTGCGAATTAGAATCCTCTATGTAATAATTGGTTCCTCCGACCTTAACCAAATATCTGAACAATCTCTTATAAGCTTAAAGTACGAAATTTTTAGAAGTTTCTAGCGCTTCCTCACATGTTGTCTGTTTATATGAAACTAAGTATTATTCATCAAATATTTCAGAAATTCTGAAACTTTGAACTTTGTCCATGCACCGATCACGATTTATTGATTTTTCATTAAAATCTAGAAACAACCGATATAAAATATTCTCCTGTACAGTGTGTCTCAAAAAACATGGGAGTTAACTGACAACTTCTTTATATTTTGTACAGTGGTAGGCGGTAATATCAATACAATGACGACAACTTTTGAGTTAAATTTTGATTTATATAAAGCTGTTTGATAACTGGACATATATAAACATAGAATTCAAGAGAAGTTGTCAATTTAAAAAGCTTCTCTTTGACTACGTGTAAACTTGTAATACCAAAAAAGCTTATTAATAATAAAAACTTAGTAAACCAGACGTCAGGTTAAATAGGCTTAATGACTCTTTGTCCATAGCATTTATTGAAAATGAAAGAAGATTCTTTAATTCCAACAGTTTACCCCAGAGATGTTAAGCCATCGAAAGAGTTTATGAAATGTCGTCGTCGTCTTCAATGGGTTTTTAACTATATTATGTTATCTCAGTAATTGCAAAATAAAAAAAAATTAATAATAGTAGTCATGAATGTGCGGGAACAGTTTTAAAGAGCTCCATAAAATCATTCCATTTTCAGAAAGTTACGAATACTACATTTTATAAAATCTTCCGATGTCTCTTTATATTTTAACCTAACTGTATGTTTTCTGCAACCAATACAGAACTTCTATAAGATGCAGAAAAAACAACTTTGGAAGCACAACAATGGGCTTCAGATGCAAACTATTCCAACGTTTTTTTAAGGTTTCGTATAATTTTCTGCACAAAACGTAAATTTTATAGCTTATTCAGCTGGTTTTATTTTTAACATTTTACCTATGCTTATATTTATCCCTCCCCCTGCGCCGAAAACAGCTTCTCCTCAACAAGAGCACCTTCCGTCAAGATTTTTTAGGGTTACCCACAAAGTAGAAGACTTCATGGACGACTGTACAGAATTAAAGCCGTCTGATTCCTTATAGGATTCCTTGTAATTGCAAACTTGTTTATTTCTTTCTCAAATCAAATAAACCATAAAAAGTCATTAATCTTGTTAAAAACTTAATATAACCTTGGGATCGTCATCCTGAAAGATCTCAGGTCGTCTTTACACTCTCGTCCTATAGTTTAAATAATACAATTAACCAAAAACTAGTATTTCACGTTTATTCATAAAAAAAAGTCTTATTAGCAATTTAAAGTGCGAGGTCATAAATCATAATCCTATGGATTCAAGTAGCATATATATACTTTTAGGATTATCAATGATCTGAGGGAACTAGATGAAAACTGAACATGAAGAGGCAAGATGTTTTAACCCTTAAAATGTATTATTTCATGAAATTTAAAGATTTCCCTCTAAACTAGCTAAATGCATTTTCAGAAAATAAAACCTTTAAAAATATTCCACAAGGGCAAATAATCAACGTCATAGGAAAGAAAAAAAAAATTNTAAATGTGGGGAAATATTATGTTTTTGAAAATGAGATCAAAATATTTAAAATAAAAAATGCATTGATTCTACATGTATTTCACTTTCAAATTTTAATTCTAAATAAGACATTTTAAAATACTTTACCAAAAGCATATTTCTGTAATTTCGTTTTATTTTCTTTGTTATCTCAACCTTTACTATTTCCGAATAATATCAGAAATGCTTTTCAATAAAAAATTATTTCTTCGGTTACAAAATTGTAGTTTAATAAACTTCTTAAAACTGGACAACAAAAAAGCTGAATTTTTTTCAATATTACATGCTTTGTACACATATGTTTTGTACACATATGTTTTGTACACAAATTTCATTTCCGACTCTGAAGAGATTCTAAGGCTGTAGCAACAGAGTCAAATTCCTAAAAAAAAGAGAGTTCAGGGACCAAATATAATAAAAAAGAGAATTCAGGGACCAAATATAATAGAAATATGGAAAATGAACTACACAGAATTATTTGAACCACTTCTTTTGTGCGCTGATTCCAAATAAGTGGCTCAACTTAGTCGACGCTGTTAAACTGTTTTTCCGCTATTCATTAAATTTTGTCCTGGAAAATTTTTTTCTTTACAAATGGCGGCGTTAAGGCATTTGTGCAACATTTTAACAAAAAAGAAATCCCATATGTACAGCGGTAGGCGATTATATCAATATAATGAAGACGGCTTTTTTATTTAAGTTTTGAATATTAACAAGTTTTTTCGAATTACATGTTTACTTAAGTAATCAAAAAGAAGCTTATTTAATTGACAGCTTCTTTTGATTTATATGTTTATTTGTATTGTGTATCCAGGCTGTTTAAAACCTGGATATAAATCAAAATTGAAATCGAAAGTTGTCTTCATTGTATTGATATAATCACCTACTACTGTATTTTTATGAAGAAATCACGGTACGCATGAATTTAAAAGTACAAAATGCATAAATTAAAAAAATCACTTTAAGAAATAAATACTTCTGAGAGAGGAAGCGAGGGAAAATATAAATCATAAGAAACAAAAATAAACCCTTTAATCGCAATATAAAATACGATCACGCTATAGTTTAAAAATTACGACGGTTTTAGGATTTAAACCCCATCTCTCTCAATAATTATTTTTTTTTAATTTAAAGACACGAAAATTTAAAGCGGAAATGGTAAAAAAGTATCCGCAAGTTCATAAATTCTTATTAAAGTCATCTTCATTTATCTAGATTTTTGATTTGCTAATCTTTATATTTACAGTGATTTCCGGAATAAAGCGGAAATTATTTTGATTAGAAACTTCCCTAAAGATTTATTTATTTATTATTTGCCTACTTGACAGTGAGAACCAGTAAACTGTAGAATAGTGTAGGATGACATTAAAGCTTGATAAGTAAGTGTATTTTTATGCTATTCCGAGCAAATAGTTTAAAACCATAACTTGAGTTAAAAGTCGTCTGCCTATTCCAGAGTATAATGGTTCTCGCTTGAAATAGTTGAAAATAAGTAAATAAAACAGATAATAAAATAAAATGAATCACCTTAAAAAAAATCTCCATTGCTAGTTTCTGTTCTTCTTTTATTTTCTCGAGTTCACTTGAAACCTCGGCGTACTCGCGCTTTATTTCCTGAAAATAAAAATATTACAGGAACGGCCGGTGTAATCTCCTGAAACATGTTAAAGGAGCTGCCGGCGTAATCTCCTGAAACCTGTTAAAGGAACTGCCGGCGTAATCTCCTAAAAAAATATTAAAGGAACTGCCGACGTAATCTCCTGAAACATGTTAAAGGAACTCCTGGTGTAATCTTCTGAAACATATTAAAGGAACTGCCGGTAATATATAGAGAGAGGGGGGAGATGTTAAAAAAATATATACCCAGTTATACCTGTAGGTTACTGACAAGCTTCCTAATGGGAACACCGCTGCAAGCAGCTCCCTTAAAGAAGAAGTTTATAAATTAAGTAAGTAGGTAAGTAATTCTTTATTTATGAAATATATTACAAACATACAAAATTAAGTGAAGGAGAAATTATTTATCTGGTTGGTATTTTATGTTTTTTTTGTTTTATTACTTATACTTTTATCAAAGAATTTAAGTCAAAGAATTGCACGTTAAAGATTTTTATTCCCAAAATAAATTTTAATACTTATATAAAGATAATTAAACTTTGTAAATTCAAAAAGTATTAATTCATAATACTTGCGTTAAAAAAATGAATCATAAAAACGACTTAAACCTCTATTGCTGTCTGTTGATCAAGTTTTTGGCCAAGTACCGCAAATCTCTTCTCTGTGTTCTAAACAAAATTTGTTTAGAATGATTAATGGTTTTTAATTACTTTTCAGAGGCGTACACAGAGTTTGGGGATAAGCCCTCCCCCCTAAATCAATAAAATCTATGGGTTCCAGGGGGTTTTCAGGCCCCGAGAAAGAAAAAGAAACTTAAGCCCCCCCCCCCCTCATTGGAAAAGTTCCTGTGTATGTCCAGCTTTTACTTTTGTACACACAGAAAAAAAAAATTAAGTAAGCAGAGGACAAGTTAGGTTGGGTTCACGGGCGTACGCATGCTGGACATTTTCGGTAATTTCCTAGTATAGGATTTTTGGAACCCTGAAATAGTTCAAAATATAAATGCTAATACTTATAAAAATAATATGTACAAAATTATAAATAATGTTTGACATCATTCTCGTGGATTTGAAGATTCCAACATCTCAAAATCCTTGGAAAACTTTATTCTATTCATGTTTTATGCCCTAACGTCGCCATATTTTTAAAAAATGTATTTATTTTCAAGGATCGGGACACTTAAAAAAAATAATATTGAAAGGACGAGGATTTTGATGTGGTTCGGATTAGAAAATGATGATGATGTGGTTGGCCTTCCTCCCCTCTTTGAACTATAGGAGGTGAGTCGGGCAATTCAATGGGAGGGAGGGGGCAGGGGGGGACAAAGAAAATATTTATTGGCATGCATTTAAAACAGACATATTCTAAATCCCTGGGTTTAAATACACAGTATAGATGGGTATCTGCAGTGGTACTAAAATATTATAATGGTTTTCTACAATACTGTGTATTTAAAATTGTATATATTTTTCCTCTAGCTATTTAGACAGTAATGAATTACTTTTACCCTTGATTAACCTCGCAGAAAATACTTCATATTTTTAATGTTCAATTTTGATTGTTAAATACTTCTTTTACAATTTTATTCAATTATTGATTGTTAAAGACCTCTTTTACAATTTTATTCAATTATTGATTGTTAAAGACTTCTTTTACAATTTTATTCAATTATTGATTGTTAACGACCTTTTTTAGAATCAACGTTAGTTTTCCATTCAGTGAAATTATTTGTTTAACTTGGTCATTCCTCCAGTTAAATCGTTTGTTCACTAAAAACGTTCGTTCAGTAAAAAATGTGTTCAAAAGTTTATCCTTAACATTGTTTGTTCTTTAAAAAATGTTAGTTAAAAAAAGTTTTAGTTTGTTTTGTTCACTCGCAAAAAAGTGCCCATCTCAGGATATATATTGCAGCATTGCCAGTCTGTTTCTAGTTTCTATGTTGAAAGGTATTGGTAAAAGAACTTCACATAAAAATGTGACTATTTTATAGTTCACAGTACGTGTACCCGGTGGCGTATACAGCATGTATGATCAATATTGGAACTGAGCTAACCAACCCAGCAGAGGTCGCTGCATTTTCACTTAAACAAAATTGCGATAAAAAAATAATTCAAAATTGTCTAAACAGTTGCAAATTGACAATTTAATATCTTAGTTATATAAAATCCCCCCTCCCCCGATGTCCATCATTCTAAGGCATGGAATCTGATCATCATGTCACAGTCCATATATTCAGAGGGCATTTATTACTAACTCAAACATTTTTTTACTACAAGATAAAAATAAATTCTAAATCTCAATACTCCCTCTGGCCCTTATGGACTGTAATTTACACTTTTCTGGACAAGGTATATGTAAACATAATGCATTCACACTGTTTACTGTCAAACTTTATAATCAAATAATGCCAAATAATACCTTATCTTTACTCCGAAGAAAAATAATGCTATAAGAGAAACTTTATAATTTTAATGATTATAAAGTATGTGATTGAGGAGGTGTACACTGTACACTGTACACTGTACAGGGTTACCCACAAAGAATAAGAATTCAGAGACGACTGTACAGAATATAATATTTCTTTCTATGTATTTATGATTCCGTGCAACAACAAAAAGACTGTCTTTCAAATCTTTGAAATAAATTTCAAAGTCTATTTCAAACAGAAGACTTAATTTAAACTTGGAATCGTCAGCTTTGAATAATTTCAAATCGTTTTTACAGTCTCATCCATTGTGGGTAACCCTGTAGGTCTAGCTGTGGTGCGTTTAACATTAATATTGCCTCATAAAGTCAGTCCTCAATGTAAGTTCTTGTTATAGTGAGTCCTCAATGTGCGTCCTTGTTATTGTGAGTCCTCAATGTGCGTCCTTGGTGTAGTAAGTCCTCAATGAGCGTCCTTGTTATTGTGAGTTCTCAATATGCGTCCTTTTATTGAGAGTTCTCAATGTGCGTCCTTTTATTGTGAGTTCTCATTGTGCATTAGGGTGTCTCAAAAACATAACTTTTTAAGTGGGTAGGTTTTTCCCATTCTCCTAGGTTCCCTTTTTTAGATTTTCTTTCTTTATATAAACAGAACTCGAAGTTATTCAATGCTAACATTTGACAATTGGACAATATAACCCGAGAGATATACGGTACAGAGTCTCCCAACCCTAAAAGGTCTAGCCATGCACAGTCTAACTATCTTTACAATATTGAATTATTATTATGAACTGCTACCTGATTGACCTCCTAGCTATAAACAATCTACCTAATTGACCCCACAGCTTTAAACTCCTACCTGATTGACCTCCTAGCTATAAACAATTTACCTAATTGACCCCACAGCTTTAAACTCCTACCTGATTGACCTCCTAATAATAGATTATCTATCTCAGATCTATCTACCTGATTTAACCCTTAGCTATGAACTGCTACCTGAATGACCCTCAGCCAGCTATAAACCTGCTGGCCATCAACTTTTTACCTGATTGACCACTTAGCTATAAACTAACTGATTGACCACCTAGCTATTGACTGTCTACCTGATTGACCTCCTAGATATACATGTCCTCGTTAAAGTAACCTTGAAAGTTCACATTTACGAAGTAGCCTCTTAATTTGCAGAATTTGGAATTTGGGTAAGGCTACCCCAAAAAGATGAGTGAAATGGGACGAGCCCAAGTTATCTGCCTTAAATGTAATCTTAAAATTGCTTATTTACTAATTTGGCAATGAAAGTGAGATGTAATTACAAATGCAGAGAATCGTGAATATTAGGAAACAGTATAGAGTCAATTCTGAAGTCTAGTCTTTTATGGGTAAAACCTGTATCTAGCATCATCATTCGCAAGAATGTTTTTTTTATTTGTTTCTGAAATATGTGAACATTCCCCCCGAGAATATGTAAGGCTTTGTTATGATTTCCTATTGGGTTGATGTATACAAAGCCAAGGCTCAGCCCTTATGTTGATTGTATCCTAGAATCCTATACAGATTAATGTTGACATTTATATTATCTCCTTGTCTCTTCTAAACAAATCCACACTGTCTGGATACAATCATAAGAAAACGAATAGCATTAAACTAAGCTAGTGGGGTAGGTCAAATAGGCCTATGATTGGCTTAGTTCTGTAAAAAGTCTGACGGTGCCATCAAAGTTGAAACCGAGCTGACGTACGTTAGGGTTAAGCTTGTACATGCCGCGAGTGTTTCTAAAAGGCATGTACAACGGTTCGGGCTGGTTCAAATTCAAATTTACCCTAGTCCACCGTGAATAATGCTGAATATTCATCAGAGAGCGACTGCTCAATTTTTTTTTTAGAGCTAAACACTTTAGATATCAAGATGAATGCTTGATCTCCTCTTTCTCTTAATCTTCAGATTATTTTAATCTTTAGTTTGTATTGGAGAAAGTTTCTAAAGTTTAACCAATCAGAGTTGATCGAGTTTGCAGAATCCCAAACAGCCGTGACTTAAAGGTTGAAAGCTTTACCGAAAAAATCGATGAGAATTTTGCCAATTACTTTTTAAACACAAGGCTAACAACAACCAATTGCCTTAGAGTGCTAAAATTTACATGTAAAGGGCTACAGAAAAGCAAAAGTGAGTTAGAACGGTAAAATCAAAGCCCAAGGCGTTGCGACACTTCAAAGTGACCCTGTATTTAAAAATCGATGAAACTTCTTATAAACAAGCTGAATCTAAGTGAGCTAATGCCTTCCTGGTCACAAATCGTAAGTTTAGGAGTTTTATATGAGAAATGTAATTGTAGAACACACATTGAAGAAGAAAAAGATATCTTGCTGAAATTGCTGAACTTAAACTGACATAAATTGAGAAAAGTTTGAAAACAAAATTTAAATTTTAAATTGTTTTCTGCATAATGTCTGTATTTCTCCCCCTTTCTGGGAAATTACACAAACTTGAATTAAAGGATTTACTTTAATCCGGAAAATTAGCTCCCACGAACCCCTATTAAATATTCTTACATCCTAAACCTCAAAAGGCTCCCCACCTTAAAATCCACTATAATCTAACACAGTTTTTAATTAAACTACTTTATTTGTAAAATTCTAAATCATATTTTCTAATTAGATATGAAATAGCTTATCATAATTAAAACAGACAATATTAATGCTTTGATAGTTCATTTTAAATGCTCGTATATGTCTAAAAAAATCAGTTGTCTATAAAGATAAAAAACAAATCTTCACTCCTGTATGCCGAGTCCATTAGCGCCTGATCCAATCAGTGTTCAGTCATGTGTTTGTTGTTTATTCTGAACCAATAGAAACAGTATGGCGGTAACATCTATCTTTCTATCTATCTCATTATCCAATAAGAGTTATGAATCCTTGAATCAGCGCTATAACAATAAATGGAAATATTTACTTCTACTGAAACTTGTATGTTAAGGAATTGTACTGCCGTACTCTTCCATTCCTGGAAAATATATAAATAACTCGGTTAATTATTAAAAGTAGATAACACATGTATTGATAAATTGATGTCTAATACATATACGTATATATGTATATAGATGTAAATATTTATATACATATATAAATAAAGGCCTCATATTTCTAGCTTATACATTTACCAATATACACAGATAATTAATAAAATCAAGAAATGGACCTACATGCAAAATTTCACTTCGGCACTCCTAAAACCGTTATACTGTTATCTGAAAAATAATGTTGAAGATATTGTCGTTTTTCAAGGTTTAAAAGGGTTAAATTTCAAATAA